GATTTTCCAAAAGCACGTAAAACCATCGATGCATGCTTTTTTATCATTTAGTCGCCGCCTTTATGCGCTTAGCTACAAATTTGCGACGTCTGTCCCGTACCGGGTTTATTTCTAATAGGCTACATCTTATTTCGGCTTATTCATAGGGACCGGAGTAAAATATAACCACCGGCATTCGTATTTTATTCTTACAAATACGAATACATTACAATGGAAATGTAATTGAAACCATCACCACACATTGATGACTATGACGTCACATCGTTCACTTACTTCTGAGCAGTCGAAACAATTGTTTTCCATAAATGGATATATGGCCTAACATAACATTTATACTTTAACATGGTCACGCCAAGCAAATGGGATTTCAGCACAACTGATAAAGTTGACTGTGTTACGAAGTCGCAGTGTATCATCGTCCAACGAAACCCATCTAAAGTCCTGTTCAGCCATTACTTGCCTACTTCTTCTTTCATCATTGTGTGGGTAGTCAGACACCAGATTTACCCGGGTTTTTAACGAGAAAATCCTCTCTGGGATTGAGCTAAATAAAATGTTCAATGTGTGTTTCATTCTAAGAACCGAAGCAGAATAAAAATTCATCTTAAAACTCACATTGCTATTAGAGGCATATTACCGCTTCGAAAGCTACAGGAATCGTTATTATTCACATTGCAGAATACATAAATACCGAAAATCGTCTGGCGTGCACTAAGATGGCTATGGTAGACATGCGAAATTTTATCAATTTTTATATTAATAGAACCTATATAGAATCGAGATCATATCATATGACACAATATGTAGGGTTACCATGTTTTTTGACTTCAAAGTGGGACGCCTCCTGTAACTTTATTTTCCGATTTTACTACATAGGCCTACATTTAAGCCATCCCGTCTGTCTTCTTTGACCATATATATTGTCCTCAAGAGTTCATGCTTATAATATTCTCTGTCTAAATATCGGGATCAGTTCGAAAAATAGAAAGGAATAGACGCTAACGATACAAATGATCCAAATTTAGATTATTTTATGTACAGCAAAAGAAATAAAGAATAATGAAATATTGTGTCGTTTTCAAGCATTGAGAATTTACTTATTCGCCCAAGCATGCTTATCCGTAGATAACATCTTTAAAAAAACGTTGTTCAATGTTACATTCACATGAACGTTCGCTAACAATGTTAGCGGGAAACAACGAAACAATCAAAATAACGCATTCACCTTCAGTAAGTACGCTAGCGTTGCGCTACACCAGCAACAACAGTGACGAGAACATGTCCGTGTATTATGCTGGATGGCTAAACGCCAAAGCGGGACTTTTGGCTGACTTGTCGGGACGGCGGGACAAGACGCCAAAAAGCGGGACGTATGATAAGCCTAGAAATATGTAAATATGCAAACCCACTTTCCGCGGACACCATAATCACCACGACATGGAGCTTTCTATGTTCCAACCGAAACACCGAGGGTTGTTAGAGACTACAAATTTTTTCACGAAATCCCCGACTAGCAAAAAACCTGTAGTCTCAGTCCTCCCTTTGCGTTCACCTGATACATGTTTGGCGAACATTATGAATTTGAGCGATGGAAATTTAAGTGCCGATATTTGCACGGATCGGCTAAATTCTGAATATTCGCTTTATTATACCTGCTTTTTAAAAATATTTTACATGAAAAATGAATGTTTCTCCGCGCCGACTAGTTTATTTCTGTAACATTGGGCAACTAACAGGATGCCATGCTGACGTAACAATGGAAATTTTACCAGACACTTTATCTCAACCTTTATTGGTTTGCGGGCTGGTGTAACTTCAAAACTAATTTGGCGGACCGGTGAACCCAAAATGTCAAAAACACAATACATAATTAAAAGAATGTAATTACGAAAAAGTATGTAGTCCAAAAACAGACAATACAATTTATTGAGAAATTTGATATCATACGTGTTAAACGCGAATTTAATGAAGTTTCTGCAAGGCGAAGTAGAACGTTGACTTTCACGCGACTTTGGTCTCAATGAGAGATAACGACAAAAACCTTTTTCACATGAGTAAGTTGACCAAAATATAAGCAGTAATTTGATGGCCTCGTCACGAAGCTCAGGACATTCTTTTTCAAGCGATATCCAATACTGTGACAAGGGCAAGTCTTTATTCTTCGACATCAACGTGGTATCACAGGAAAGCTCAATCATCGATCTTTCACAGCCGTGTTAAGATTGTACGAATTAATATCATTTGCAATAGATTTAACAATCCAGAGGTTACCCTGGCGAGGATCTAAACATTTTCCGCGAAAAGTAAATGCTAAAACTGACTTTCAAGTGTTGACTTATGACAGCAAATAACTCTTCTGTGCCACGATGTTTTGCAAACATGGAAACATATCGATATCGCCATTCTGCACATTGCTATCCCAAAACACAGGACGCTCAGTTTTGTTATGTTGGTGTGATTACCTTGCAGAGAACTGTTAGAGTGTTCAAACGGCTGAATAAATCCGCTAAGCAGCGCCGGATTAACCATTAAACGAGAATATCGGTCAGAGACCGAAGACTTATCGATCGAAAGTTCGGGGATCCCCCAAAACAGCGCTCTTACTCCATAGTGACACCTTGTGTCCCATCACTAATCAATTAATAACTCGCTAATTATACGACATAATTCGCCCAAAATCAATAGGCTTCTGTTCCGAGATAAGATGAATGCACATGCAAAATCTGAAGCAGATTCAATGAAATTGATTTTTCTACATGCAATGATATTTTCTGAGTGAAACAATATCTTCGGAAATTCTTCTTCTTTTTTTCTCATATTTCCTCAAAATCTAATAAAAAATGATTCAGATAATCTATCTATAATTGAATTAAACTGAGCTATTATTTTGGCAAAATAATCCATCATTGATAATTCGTATTCAAATTTGTCAGAATTTTTGACATTGGCGAAGACATTGTTGCCCTAAACATAAATACAATATTCAATTTCAATAGTCGGTTTGACATTCGATACGAGGTTTAGTTTTTATCCCGGTCTTGGACTGCTATTTTCTCATTTCGTAGCGTCAAGTGCATGGGTGAGTGAATCTCAATATGTATGAAAATATTTATTATCCCCATAGTCGACTCCTTATCATAGAAAACTTCAAATAGTTTTGTTTCCTACTTCATGAATTGAAGACAGTACAATTCAAAACTTTCTCAGCATTTATTCAATCTCGTAAAAATCGCTTATTTTATTACGAACCTCAACAATAGCAGATGTATCAAATTTCTTACAGATTCCCGAACTCACGTTTTATACGTTTGTTGTAGATTCTCTCCACTAACCAGAAAATTATTGGTAGGGGGCAGCGTCGTCTCCATATCAGGAGTTGCAATTCGAGTTTGTTCGATTCCATTCGAAATGTTTCTATCATACAGGCTCTTTTCTGGCGACGAATATGTTTCGCTTGTATTGGGTAAATGATGATTTTCATCTGGTCGCTGTGCGGAATAATTCTTCCCTGCAGATGCGGTAGATCTTTATTTTATAGCATTGTGGTTCGGCGGTTCATTATCGCTCATGAATTTGATGCTGTTGTCTTTGAATTTATTATTCGGGTAACTCTGACTTGTTTCAGAGCTACCTAAATTTTAATTATTCGACTGTTTCTCAGTCATGAACGATGACATTTGCTTATTTTCTGGCAGTAACTATCTCGCTGAAGCCTTTTCGTCTTGACGTTCCAATGTCCGGGGAATAAATTTCGTAGACGATGTTTTTATTCCCCAGGATTTTCGATGTTTTCTGAAGAAGTACGGTCAATAGGTTCGCCATCTTTCTAGTCAAAGGAAGAAATGTGGATATCAGGAAAAATACCCAATTCCTGGGCTCTTTGAACAGATTATATGAAAATCCACCAATGTCTTTATTATGAACATGATTCTCCAGTGTGTAATCGCCATGAGGGATTCTATGAGGGAATTTTTTGAGATGTAATGCAATGAAGAAGTAAATCTATATTATATTAGAGAGATGTATCACTGCTTGATTTTTATTATAAAAAGTATCATACGTTCGGTTTTTAACTTTCTAAAAATATGTGCGACCCGCCAATAACTTGCAGCCCTTAATTTTGGCCCGCGAGCGACGAAAGGTTGCCGACCCCTGCTCTAAACGAGATGGTGCGCAAGATCATTTTTAATTATCTTCGAACCTCCTCAAAAAATTGTCTACGATCCCTTTGTGGGGCGCGCTGCCTATTCACATAAGCTCACCTGTAACCGCTTCCGGTTCGGTGTCTCAAAAATGTCGTCCATGTGCACATTCCCCACACTCGTCCCCTTTTGAAAATTTTCCCTATATCTCCCACAGGAAGGAAATATTGCGGGAAAATAGCTGAATTTATCTGTGATTCGAGCTGTGCTATAGATTAGAATGCATTTTCATAATACTTAGTACAGGAGGTTAGATAAGCATATATAGTGGTATTCAAACAAGAATGACATCACATTTTTGGACACTCTCCCTGGTTAGCAATAAAATGAATTCTCGATGATAAAGCAGTTTATATGTGGTATATGTATACTCATTACTGACAAATTTTTTAATCCAATAGGTTATCACATATCAAATGTAATGGAATCAATATAAAAATAAATATAATAAATATACAAACGTAAATATTTCAGACAAGGAATTAGATTAAATAAAACATTTCGATTAGTAAAAAAACAAACCTATATTTGGGTTGATTGTTTGATAGCATGTATGTAAATCTGAAAATACTCAGATGGATGGGTAGCATGCCAAAATTATAAATATTGTAAATATTGTGCTTTTTTCTTCATACCATTCTAAACTTAAAAAGGCCCGGACTACTAGAAAATAATAAGAAAAAAGCATACATTAAGAAATTACCTATTTTGCTACAGCTAACTAGCACTTTGAACAAAAAGGATAACAATAAAATAGTGGAACTAGTATATATTAAAATCACCAACAAAGTAAAGATGTGTTATTTCATGAGTCAGATCCCATGAAATTGGCAAAAAAAAAAATACAAACCAACAACACTTCTGGAAAAGCTTTAACACAATCAAGTATATTATTAAAAATTCATTGATTTCATAAATGATTACCTATGAAAAAAGTTAATCTCACTATACTTGAATCAAGCCTAGGTTCCGATTACTACAATCGTAAAATAGGTACGTTTCACTAAAATAAAACAATGTATAACTTTGAAAGTCTGTTAACTAAATAGTTGCATAAATCGGACAGTGATTATCAATAAATAAGATATACAATAATGTTAGTAATAAAATAGTCTACTCTATACAGCTATGTGTTACACAAACATACGTGAACAGTTTCTATTATATTTACTTATAGATAACATATGCCAAACTACTATAAAGCTCGACTTCTATCATTTCAGTATTTATCAGTTGTGCATTGTCTCGACTATTCTAACATATGTTAGAAGATACATATTATTTTACGCGGTTCAAACAATCACAGGTTATTCGTAGGGTTAATCCGATGTAGTCGCACTTGTTCCGCATTACCAATGTTCTCTGGGTGCCCAGCCAAGTACGTGGGCATAGTCTGTGGCACTCAACTGTACTAATGCGCGTAGGTTTGAAGTCTTTGCATTTCCATTTGTTCACAGTATAGAGAGCTTGTGGATTGTCAGTTACTGCCAGCACACCAAGTTTTTTACAATGTTCATCTAGCCATCTGAAACAAAGTGATATGAGGTTTAATTTATCAATTTTCAAAAAAAAAATAAATTCCTCAATTGTAAGTAATTATTAGTATACATTTTTTGTTGTTAGTCAGTCTCCACTGTTGCCGCAGTCAATTCTAGTTCGGCAACTACTTTATAAAAGTTATTCTTTGGCTTTTCTTACTCTCTCTCCCTCTATGAAAATGATAATGTCGAAAGTTGCTACAAGCAAGCACTCCAAGTTGCGACTGTACTGATCACGATAGAAGCTACGCCTCGTCTTTGTGACACATTTATGTAAACATTGTACTTCCGTTTTGTATTGTAATTAGTATTGTTGTTTGTGAGTTGATTTGTTTAATTAATTTGAAAGCACGATTTTACTGATATCAAATTTCTCAATTGCGGAATCCGGTTTCATTCCAATTCGATACAATTATTTTTGAGTGATTCATAAATAGCAAGTAGCAACACACCCGCCAGCAACAAATGATAAATATAAGAAAGTTCCAATACATGGGATCGGAACCAAACATACTGAGGTATGGATGTAATGGTCTGTTCATAGTACATACTAAATGGATAGATGAAGGGGTGCGAATTTGGTTACAGAAACCCACAACCATACTTGCTTAATTTGTCGGGCTCAGGTCGGAAAAATCTTAACATAAATAAATCTGACTGCATTCTAATATTCCAAAGTGTAATTGTACAATTTCCTCATTCAAATTTGTACTTATTCTTATATTTATGCTAATGAAGTTCTGATGCGATTAGTGTGCAATGAAGCAAACATAATTACCTCCAGCTAGATTCTTCATCCATCCATTCAACGATGAAACCTCTCCAGAATATAACATCGACATCAATACCACGGCAATAAATATTTTCATTTTTGCACTATAATGTAATCGTTTAATTAGCGAATAAGTTTTATCATGATTAAAAACACATGTGAAATTATGATATTACGCTTGTTTATTACCTATACGTACAATTCATTTCTTGAGATATTTTTGTTCACTAAAGTCGAATTAAAAATAATCTTCCAAAATGTAGTTTTGTTTATCAATTTAATATTCAAATGAGAGCATTGATATCTTTATATCATTACGTCTAATATTTTGTACATGCAATGAAACAAGTCATAGATATCTTATGTAGTGTATAAGAATATAGCATAATTATAATATAGTAGATTTATATTGAAAAAAAAACACAAACCTTGACAACTCTTCTCACGCTTTTTCAGCAATTCCAGTAGCAGTAATTCTAGGTTACAACTTATTGTGTTTCTGTAGTTTTTTAAGATTTCATTATAAAAATCCTCATTTGCTCCATTCCTTTTAAGCTAAATTCTTGAACTTTCCCACTTTCTTGTCCCTTGTTCGGCGCAATTAGAATCCGTCACGAGCATACCCGAAAGTTTGTAGGTTCGTGATATGCATCACTCTACTTTATATTTCAATTGGTAGAAATGGTGTTAACGGAAGTAAATCGTGGTTTCGTATCCCGTGTTTTCAATTTAATAAAATATTGGACACGATAGTTAAAATCTCCACACCTACGCTACTGTTGGGAAACGATAATTAGTTGTATTTTTTTGTTTTCCAGAACGCAATACGCCTATGTCACGCTTTGTTGTTATGCAAATTAGTATTGATTTTCCAATAGCACGTAAAACCAACTTTTTCATCATTTACTCGCCGCCTTTATGCGCTAAAAATTTGCGACGTCTGTTCCGTACCGGGTTTATTTCTAATAGGCTACAGCTTATTTCGGCTTATTCATAGTGGCCGGAGTAGAAGATAACCACGGGCATTCGTTTTTTATTCTTACAAATACGAATACATTACAATGGAAATTTAACTGAAACCATCACCACACATTGATGACTATGACGTCACATCGTTTAACTTCCTTCTGAGCAGTCGAAACAATTGTTTTTCCATAAATGGATATATATCCTAACATAACATTTATACTTTAACATGGTCACGCCAAGCAAATGGGATTTCAGCACAACTAATAAAGTTGACTGTGTTACTTAAAATGAGGTCGCAGTGTATCATCGTCCAACGAAACCCATCTAAAGTCCTGTTCAGCCAGAAACGTTCCAAATCAGTATTTCACAATAATTGATGAATTACTTGCCTACTTCTTCTTTCATCACTGTGCGGGTAGTCAGACACCGAATTTCCCCGGGTTTTTTAATGAGAAAATCCTCTCTGGGATTGGGCTAAATAAAATGTGCAATGTGTGTTACATTCTAAGAACCGAAGCAGAATAAAAATTCATCTTAAAACTCACATTGCTATAAGAGGCATATTACCGCTTCTAAAGCTACAGAAATCGTTATGATTCACCTTGCAGAATACATAAATACCGAAAATCGTCTGGCGTGCACTAAGATGGCTATGGTAGACAGGCGAAATTTCATCAATTTTTATATTAATAGAACCTATATAGAATCGAGATCATATCATATGACACAATATGTAATGTTACCATATTTTTTGACTTCAAAGCGGGACGCCTCCTGTAACTTTACAGTTTCCGATTTTACTACATAGGCCTACATTTAAGCCATCCCGTCTGTCTTCTCTGACCATATATATTGTCATCAAGAGTTCATGCTCATAATATTCTCTGTCTAAATATCGGGTTCAGTTCGAAAAATAGAAAGGAATAGACGCTAACGATACAAATGATCCAAATTTAGATTATTTTATGTACAGCAAAAGAAATAAAGAATAATGAAATATTCTGTCGTTTTCAAGCATTGAGAATTTACTTATTCGCCCAAGCATGCTTATCCGTAGATAACATCTTTAAAAAAACGTTGTTCAATGTTACATTCACATGAACGTCCGAATAGGACTAATTAGACTTGATTTTACATGTGATACGTTCGCTAACAATGTTAGCGGGAAACAACGAAACAAACAAAATAACGCATTGACCTTCAGTAAGTACGCTAGTGTTGCGCTGCACCAGCAACAACAGTGACGAGAACATCTCCGTGTATTATGCTGGATGGCTGAACGCCAAAGCGGGACTTTTGGCTGACTTGTCGGGACGGCGGGACAAGACGCCAAAAAGCGGGACTGTCGCGCCTAAAGCGGGACGTATGGTAAGCCTAGAAATATGTAAATATGCAAACCCACTTTCCGCGGACACCATAATCACCACGACATGGAGCTTTCTACGTTTCCAAACGAAACACCGAGGGTTGTTAGAGACTACAAATTTCTTCACGAAATTCCACGACTAGCACAAAACCTGTAGTCTCAGTCCTCCCTTTGCGTTCACCTGATACATGTTTGGCGAACATTATGAATTTAAGCGATGGAAATTTAAGTGCCGATACTTGCACGGATCGGCAAAATTCTGAATATTCGCTTTATTATACCTGCTTTTTAAAAATATTTTACATGAAAAATGAATGTTTCTCCGCGCCGACTAGTTTATTTCTGTAACATTGGGCAACTAACAGGATGCCATGCTGACGTAACGATGGAAATTTTACCAGACACTTTATCTCAACCTTTATTAGTTTGCGGGCTGGTGTAATTTCAAAACTAATTTGGCGGACCGGTGTACCCAAAATGTCAAAAACACAATACATAATTAAAAGAATGTAGTTACGAAAAAGTGTGTAATCCAAAAGCAGACAATACAATTTATTGAGAAATTTGATATCATACGTGTTAAACGCGAATTTAATGAAGTTTCTGCAAGGCGAAGTAGAACGTTGACTTTCACGCGACTTTGGTCTCAATGAGAGAGAACGACAAAAGCCTTTTTCACATGAGTAAGTTGAACAAAATATAAGCAGTAATTTGATGGCCTTGTCACGAAGCTCAGGATATTCTTTTTCAAGCGATATCCATTACTGTGACAAGGGCAAGTCTTTATTCTTCGACATCAACGTGGTATCACAGGAAAGCTCCTCGATCTTTCACCGCCGTGTTAAGATTGTAGGAATTAATATCATTTGCAATAGAGTTAACAATCCAGAGGTTACCCTGGCGAGGATCTAAGCATTTTCCGCAAAAAGTAAATGCTAAAACTGAATTTCAAGTGTTGACTTATGACAGCAGATAACTCTTCTGTGCCACGATGTTTTGCAAACATGGAAACATATCGATATCGCCATTCTGCACACTGCTATCCCAAAACACAAGACGCTCAATTTTGGTATGTTGATGTGATTACCTTGCAGAGAACTGTTAGAGCGTTCAAGCGGCTGAATAAATCCGCTAAGCAGCGCCAGATTAACCATTAAACAAGAATATCGGTCGGAGACCGAAGACCTATCGATCGAAAGTTAGGGGATCCCCCAAACAGCGCTCTTACTCCAAAGTGACACCTTGTGTTCCAACACTAATTAATTAATAACTCGCTAATTATACGACATAATTCGCCCAAAATCAATAGGCTTCTGGTCCAAGATAAGATGAATGCACATGCAAAATCTGGAGCAGATTCAATTCAATGGATTTTTCGACTTGCTATGATATTTTCTGAGTGAAACAATATCTTCGGAAATTCTTCTTCTTTTTTTCTCATATTTCCTCAAAATCTAATGAAAAATGATTCAGATAATCTATCTATAATTGAATTAAACTGAGCTATTATTTTGGCAAAATAATCCATCATTGATAAATCGTATTCAAATTTGTCAGAATTTTTGACATTGGCGAAGACATTGTTGCCCTGAACATAAATACAATATTCAATTTCAATAGTCGGTTTGACATTTGATACGAGGTTTAGTTTTTATCCCGGTCTTGGACTGCTATTTTCTCATTTAGTAGCGTCAAGTACATGGGTGAGTGAATCTCAATATGTATGAAAATATTTATTATCTCCATAGTCGACTCCTTATCATAGAAAACTTCAAATAGTTTTGTTTCCTACTTCATGAATTGAAGACAGTACAATTCAAAACTTTCTCAGCATTTATTCAATCTCATAAAAATCGCTTATTTTATTACGAACCTCAACAATGGCAGATGTATCAAATTTCTTACAGATTCCCGAACTCACGTTTTATACGTTTGTTGTAGATTCTCTCCACTAACCAGAAAATTATTGTTAGGGGGCAGCGTCGTCTCCATATCAGGAGTAGCAATTCGAGTTTGTTCGATTCCATTCGAAATGTTTCTATCATACAGGCTCTTTTCTGGCGACGAATATGTTTCGCTTGTATTGAGTAAATGATGATTTTCATCTGGTCGCTGTGCGGAATAATTCTTCCCTGCAGATGCGGTAGATCTTTATTTTATAGCATCGTGGTTCGGCGGTTCATTATCGCTCATGAATTTGATGCTGTTGTCTTTGAATTTATTATTTGGGTAACTCTCACTTGTTTCAGAGCTACCTAAATTTTAATTATTCGACTGTTTCTCAGTCATGGACGATGACATTTGCTTATTTTTTGGCAGTAACTATCTCGCTGAAGCAATTTTGCCTTGACGTTCCAATGTCTGGGGAATAAATTTCGTAGACGATGTTTTTATTCGCCAGGCTTTTCGATGTTTTCTGAAGAAGTACGGTCAATAGCCTCCCCATCTTTTTAGTCAAAGGAAGAAATGTGATTATCAGGAAAAATACCCAATTCCTGGGCTCTTTGAACAGATTATATGAAAATCCACCAATGTCCTTATTATGAACATGATTCTCCAGTGTGGAATCGCTATGAGGGATTCCATGAGGGAATTTTTTGAGATGTAATGCAATGAAGAAGTAAATCTATATTATATTAGAGAGATGTATCACTGCTTGATTTTTATTATAAAAAGTATCATACGTTCGGTTTTTTAACTTTCTAAAAATATGTGCGACCCGCCAATAACTTGCAGCCCTTAATTTTGGCCTTGGAAAGGTTGCCGACCCCTGCTCTAAACGAGATGGTGCGCAAGATCATTTTTAATTATCTCCGAACCTCCTCAAAAAATTGTCTACGACCCCTTTGTGGGGCGCGCTGCCTATTCACATAAGCTCACCTGACACCTCGCTTCCGGTTCGGTGTCTCAAAAATGTCGTCCCTGTGCACATTCCCCACACTCGTCCCCTTTTGAACAAATTTTCCCTATATCTCCCACAGGAAGGAAATATTGCGGGAAAATAGCTGAATTTATCTGTGATTCGTGCTGTGCTATAGAGTTGAATGCATTTTCATAATACTTAGTACAGGAGGTTAGAAAAGCATATATAGTGGTATTCAAACAAGTATGACATCACATTTTTGGACACTCTTCCTGGTTAGCAATAAAATGAATTCTCGATGATAAAGCAGTTTATATGTGGTATATGTATATTCATTACTGACAAATTCTTAATCCAATAGGTTATCACATATCAAATGTAATGGAATTAATATAAAAATAAATATACAAACGTAAATAAGTCAGACAAGGAATTAGATTGAATAAAACATTTCGATTAGTAAAAAAACAAACCTACATTTGGGTTGATTGTTTGATAGCATGTATGTAAATCTGAAAATACTCAGGTGGATGGGTAGCATGCCAAAACTAGAAATAATGTAAATATTGTGGTTTTTTCTTTATACCATTCTAAACTTAAAAAGGCCCGGACTACTGGAAAATAATAAGAAAAAAGCATACATTAAGAAATTACCTATTTTGCTACAGCTAACTAGCACTTTGAACAAAAAGGATAACAATGAAATAGTGGAACTAGTATATATTAAAAACACCAACAAAGTAAAGATGTGTTATTTCATGGTTAGATCCCATGAAATTGGCAAAAAAAATACAAACCAACAACACTTCTGGAAAAGCTTTAACACAATCAAGTATATTATTAAAAATTCATTGATTACGTAAATGATCACATATGAAAATAGTTAATCTTACTATACTTGAATCAAGCCTAGGTTCCGATTACTACAATCGTAAAATAGGTACGTTTCACTAAAATAAAACAATGTATAACTTTGAAAGTCTGTTAACTAAATAGTTGCATAAGTCGGACAGTGATTATCAATAAATAAGATATACAATAATGTTAGTAATAAAATAGTCTACTCCATACAGCTATGTGTTACACAAACATACGTGAACAGTTTCTATTATATTTACTTATAGATAACATATGCAAAACTACTATAAAGCTCGACTTCTATCATTTCAGTATTTAACAGTTGTGCATTGTCTCGACTATTCTAACATATGTTAGAAGATACATATTATTTTACGCGATTCAAACAATCACATGTTATTCGTAGGGTTAATCCGATGTAGTCGCACTTGTTCCGCATTACCAATGTTCTCTGGGTGCCCAGCCAAGTACGTGGGCATAGTCTGTGGCATTCAACTGTACTAATGCGCGTAGGTTTGAAGTCTTTGCATTTCCATTTGTTCACAGTATAGAGAGCTTGTGGATTGTCAGTTACTGCCAGCACACCAAGTTTTTTACAATGTTCATCTAGCCATCTGAAACAAAGTGATATGTGGTTTAATTTAACAATTTTCAAAAAAAAAATAAATTCCTCAATTTTAAGTAATTATTATTATACATTTTTTGTTGTTAGTCAGTCTCCAGTGTTGCCGCAGTCAATTCTAGTTCGGCAACTACTTAATAAAAGTTATTCTTTGGCTTTTCTTACTCTCTCTCCCTCTATGAATATGATAGTGTCGAAAGTTGCTACAAGCAAGCACTCCAAGTTGCGACTGTACTGATCACGATAGAAGCTACGCCTCGTCTTTTTGATACATATATGTAAACATTGTACTTCCGTTTTGTATTGTAATTAGTATTGTTGTTTGTGAGTTGATTTGTTTAATTAATTTGAAAGCACGATTTTACTGATATCAAATTTCTCAATTGCGGAATCCGGTTTCATTCCAATTCGATACAATTATTTTTGAGTGATTCATAAATAGCAACACACCCGCCAGCAACAAATGATAAATATAAGAAATTTCCAATAGATGGGATCGGAACCAAAAATACTGAGGTATGGATGTAATGGTCTGTTCATAGTACATACTAAATGGATAGATGAAGGGGTGCGAATTTGGTTACAGAAACCCACAACCATACTTGCTTAATTTGTCGGGCTCAGGTCGGAAAAATCTTAACATAAATAAATCTGACTGCATTCTAATATTCCAAAATGCAATTGTACAATTTCCTCATTCAAATTTGTACTTATACTTATATATATGCTAATAAAGTTCTGATGGGATTAGTGTGCAATGAAGCAAACATAATTACCTCCAGCTAGATTCTTCATCCATCCATTCTAACGATGAAACCTCTCCAGAATATAACATCGACATCAATACCACGGCAATAAATATTTTCATTTTTGATCTATAATGTAATCGTTTAATTTGTGAATAAGTTTTATCATGATTAAAAACACATGTAAAATTATGATATTACTCTTGTTTTTTACCTATACGTACAATTCATTTCTTGAGATATTTTTGTTCACTAAAGTCGAATTAAAAATAATCTTCTAAAATGTAGTTTTGTTTATCAATTTAATAATCAAATGAGAGCATTGATATCTTTATATCATTACGTCTAATATTTTGTACATGCAATGAAACAAGTCATAGATATTTTATGTAGTGTATAAGAATATAGCATAATTATAATATAGTAGATTTATATTGAAAAAAAAACACAAACCTTGACAACTCTTCTCACGCTTTTTCAGCAATTCCAGTAGCAGTAATTTCTAGATTACAACTTATTGTGTTTCTGTAGTTTTCTAAGATTTCATTATAAAAATCCTCATTTGCTCCATTCCTTTTAAGCTAAATTCTTGTACTTTCCCACTTTCCTGTCTCTTGTTCGGCGCAATTAGAATCCGTCACGAGCATACCCGAAAGTTTGTAGGTTCGTGATATGCATCACTCTACTTTATATTTCAATTGGTAGAAATGGTGTTAACGGAAGTAAATCGTGGTTTTGTATCCCGTGTTTTCAATTTAATAAAATATTGGAGACGATACTTAAAATCTCCACACCTACGCTACTGTTGGGAAACGATAATTAGTTGTATTTTTTGTTTTCCAGAACGCAATACGCCTATGTCACGCTTTGTTGTTATGCAAATTAGTTTTGATTTTCCAATAGCACGTAAAACCATCGATGTATGCTTTTTCATCATTTACTCGCCGCCTTTATGCGCTAAAAATTTGCGACGTCTGTTCCGTACCGGGTTTATTTCTAATAGGCTACAGCTTATTTCGGCTTATTCATAGTGGTCGGAGTAAAACATAACCACCGGCATTCGTTTTTTATTCTTTCAAATACGAATACATTACAATGGAAATTTAATTGAAACCATCACCACACATTGATGACTATGACGTCACATCGTTTAACTTCCTTCTGAGCAGTCGAAACAATTGTTTTTCCATAAATGGATATATGGCCTAACATAACATTTATACTCTAACATGGTCACGCCAAGCAAATGGGATTTCAACACAACTGATAAAGTTGACTGTGTTACTTAAAATGAAGTCGCAGTGTATCATCGTCCAACGAAACCCATCTAAAGTCCTGTTCAGCCAGAAACGTTCCAAATCAGTATTTCACAATAATTGATGAATTACTTGCCTACTTCTTCTTTCATCACTGTGTGGGTAGTCAGACACCGAATTTCCCCGGTTTTTTTAATGAGAAAATCCTCTCTGGGATTGGGCTAAATAAAATGTGCAATGTGTGTTACATTCTAAGAACCGAAGCAGAATAAAAATTCATCTTGAAACTCACATTGCTATAAGAGGCATATTACCGCTTTCAAAGCTACAGAAATCGTTATTATTCACATTGCAGAATACATAAATACCGAAAATCGTCTGGCGTGCACTAAGATGGCTATGGTAGACGGCGAAATTTCATCAATTTTTATATTAATAGAACCTATATAGAATCGAGATCATATCATATGACACAATATGTAGGGTTACCATATTTGTTGACTTCAAAGCGGGACGCCTCCTGTAACTTTACAGTTTCCGATTTTACTACATAGGCCTACATTTAAGCCATCCCGTCTGTCTTCTCTGACCATATATATTATCATCAAGAGTTCATGCTCATAATATTCTCTGTATAAATATCGGGTTCAGTTCGAAAAATAGAAAGGAATAGACGCTAACGATACAAATGATCCAAATTTAGATTATTTTATGTACAGCAAAAAAAATAAAGAATAATGAAATATTCTGTCGTTTTCAAGCATTGAGAATTCACTTATTCGCCCAAGCATGCTTATCTGTAGATAACATCTTTAAAAAACGTTGTTCAATGTTACATTCACGTGAACGTCCGAATTAGAATTGATTTTACATGTGATACGTGCGCTGACAATGTTAGCGGGAAACAACGAAACAAACAAAATAACGCATTCACCTCCAGTAAGTACCCTAGTGTTGCGCTACACCAGCAACAACAGTGACGAGAACATGTCCGTGTATTATGCTGGATGGCTGAACGCAAAAGCGGGACTTTTGGCTGTCTTGTCGGGACGGCGGGACAAGACGCCAAAAAAGCGGGACTGTCCCGTCTAAAGCGGGACGTATGGTAAGCCTTAAAATATGTAAGTATGCAAACCCACTTTCCGCGGACACCATAATCACCACGACATAGAGCTTTCTACGTTCCAACCGAAACACCGAGGGTTGTTAGAGACTACAAATTTCTTCACGAAATCCCCGACTAGCACAAAACCTGTAGTCTCAGTCCTCCCTTTGTGTTCACCTGATACATGTTTGACGAACATTAGGATTTTAGGCGATGGAAATTTAGGTGCCGATATTTACACGGATCGGCAAAATTCTGAATAATCGCTTTATTATACCTGCTTTTTAAAAATATTTTACATAAAAAATGAATGTTTCTCCGCGCCGATTAGTTTATTTCTGTAACATTGAACAACTAACAGAATGCCATGCTGACGTAACGATGGAAATTTTACCCGACACTTTATCTCAACCTTTATTAGTTTGCGGGCTGGTGTAATTTCAAAACTAATTTGGCGGACCGGTGAACCTAAAATGTCAAAAACACAATACATAATTAAAAGAATGTAGTTACGAAAAAGTATGTAATCCAAAAGCAGACAATACAATTTATTGAGAAATTTGATATCATACGTGTTAAACGCGAATTTAATGAAGTTTCTGCAAGGCGAAGTAGAACGTTGACTTTCACGCGACTTTGGTCTCAATGAGAGATAACGACAAAAGCCTTTTTCACATGAGTAAGTTGAACAAAATATAAGCAGTAATTTGATGGCCTTGTCACGAAGCTCAGGATATTCTTTTTCAAGCGATATCCAATACTTTGACAAGGGCAAGTCTTTATTCTTCGACATCAACGTGGTATCACAGGAAAGCTCAATCATCGATCTTTCACCGCCGTGTTAAGATTGTAGGAATTAATATCATTTGCAATAGAATTAACAATCCAGAGTTTACCCTGGCGAGGATCTAAGCATTTTCCGCAAAAAGTAAATGCTAAAACTGACTTTCAAGTGTTGACTTATGACAGCAAATAACTCTTCTGTGCCACGATGTTTTGCAAAACATGGAAACATATCGATATCGCCATTCTGCACATTGCTATCCCAAAACACAAGACGCTCAATTTTGGTATGTTGATGTGATTACCTTGCAGAGAACTGTTAGAGCGTTGAAGCGGCTGAATAAATCCGCTAAGCAGCGCCAGATTAACCATTAAACAAGAATATCTGTCGGAGACCGAAGACTTATCGATCGAAAGTTAGTGGCACCCCAAAACAGCGCTCTTACTCCAAAGTGACACCTTGTGTTCCATCACTAATTAATTAATAACTCGCTAATTATACGACATAATTCACCCAAAATCAATAGGCTTCTGGTCCGAGATAAGATGAATGCACATGCAAAATCTGGAGCAGATTCAATGCAATGGATTTTTCGACTTGCTATGATATTTTCTGAGTGAAACAATATCTTCGGAAATTGTTCTTCTTTTTTTCTCATATTTCCTCAAAATCTAATGAAAAATGATTCAAATAATCTATCTATAATTGAATTAAACTGAGCTATTATTTTGGCAAAATAATCCATCATTGATAATTCGTATTCAAATTTGTCAAAATTTTTGACATTGTTGCCCTGAACATAAATACAATATTCAATTTCAATAGTCGGTTTGACATTTGATACGAGGTTTAGTTTTTATCCCGGTCTTGGACTGCTATTTTCTCATTTAGTAGCGTCAAGTACATGGGTGAGTGAATCTCAATATGTATGAAAATATTTATTATCTCCATAGTCGACTCCTTATCATAGAAAACTTCAAATAGTTTTGTTTCCTACTTCATGAATTGAAGACAGTACAATTCAAAACTTTCTCAGCATTTATTCAATCTCGTAAAAATCGCTTATTTTATTGCGAACCTCAACAATAGCAGATGTATCAAATTTCTTACAGATTCCCGAACTCACGTTTTATACGTTTGTTGTAGATTCTCTCCACTAACCAGAAAATTATTGTTAGGGGGCAGCGTCGTCTCCATATCAGGAGTAGCAATTCGATTCCATTCGAAATGTTTCTATCATACAGGCTCTTTTCTGGCGACGAATATGTTTCGCTTGTATTGGGTAAATGATGATTTTCATCTGGTCGCTGTGCGGAATAATTCTTCCCTGCAGATGCGGTAGATCTTTATTTTATAGCATTGTGGTTCGGCGGTTCATTATCGCTCATGAATTTGATGCTGTTGTCTTTGAATTTATTATTCGGGTAACTCTGACTTGTTTCAGAGCTACCTAAACTTTAATTATTCGACTGTTTCTCAGTCATGGACAATGACATTTGCTTATTTTCTGGCAGTAACTATCTCGCTGAAGCAATTTTGCCTTGACGTTCCAATGTCCGGGGAATAAATTTCGTAGACGATGTTTTTATTCGCCAGATTTTTCGATGTTTTCTGAAGAAGTACGGTCAATAGCCTCGCCATCTTTTTAGTCAAAGGAAGAAATGTGATTATCAGGAAAAATACCCAATTCCTGGGCTCTTTAAACAGATTATATGAAAATCCACCAATGTCCTCATTATGAACATGATTCTCCAGTGGGGAATCGTCATGAGGGATTCCATGAGGGAATTTTTGAGATGTAATGCAATGAAGAAGTAAATCTATATTATATTAGAGAGATGTATCACTGCTTGATTTTTATTATATAAAGTATCATACGTTCGGTTTTTAACTTTCTAAAAATATGTGCGACCCGCCAATAACTTGCAGCCCTTAATTTTGGCCCGCGAGCGACGAAAGGTTGCCGACCCCTGCTCTAAACGAGATGGTGCGCAAGATCATTTTTAATTATCTCCGAACCTCCTCAAAAAATTGTCTACGACCCCTTTGTGGGGCGCGCTGCCTATTCACATAAGCTCACCTGTAACCCCGCTTCCGGTTCGGTGTCTCAAAAATGTCGTCCCTGCGCACATTCCCCACACTCGTCCCCTTTTGAACAAATTTTCCCTATATCTCCCACAGGAAGAAATATATTGCGGGAAAATAGCTGAATTTATCTGTGATTCGTGCTGTGCTATAGAGTTGAATGCATTTTCATAATACTTAGTACAGGAGGTTAGAAAAGCGTATATAGTGGTATTCAAACAAGAATGACATCACATTTTTGGACACTCTCCCTGGTTAGCAATAAAATGAATTCTCGATGATAAAGCAGTTTATATGTGGTATATGTATACTCATTACTGACAAATTCTTAATCCAATATTTTATCACATATCAAATGTAATGGAATTAATATAAAAACAAATATACAAACGTAAATAAGTCAGACAAGGAATTAGATTGAATAAAACATTTCGATTAGTAAAAAAACAAACCTACATTTGGGTGGATTGTTTGATAGCATGTAAGTAAATCTGAAAATACTCAGGTGGATGGGTAGCATGGAAAAATGAATAATGTAAATATTGTGCTTTTTTCTTTATACCATTCTAAACTTAAAAAGGCCCGGACTACTAGAAAATTATAACAGAAAAGCATACATTAAGAAATTACCTATTTTGCTACAGCTATCTAGCACTTTGAACAAAAAAGATAACAATAAAATAGTGGAACTAGTATATATTAAAAACACCAAAAAAGTAAAGATGTGGTATTTCATGAGTCAGATCCCATGAAATTGGCAAAAAAAAAAAAAACCAACAACACTTCTGGAAAAGCTTTAACACAATCAAGTAAATTATTAAAAATACATTGATTACATAAATGATCACATATGAAAATAGTTAATCTTACTATACTTGAATCAAGCCTAGGTTCCGATTACTACCATCGTAAAATAGGTACGTTTCACTAAAATAAAACAATGTGTAACTTTGAAAGTCTGTTAACTAAATAGTTGCATAAGTCGGACAGTGATTATCAATAAATAAGATATACAATAATGTTAGTAATAAAATAGTCTACTCTATACAGCTATGTGTTACACAAACATACGCGAACAGTTTCTATTATATTTACTTATAGATAACATATGCCAAACTACTATAAAGCTCGACTTCTATCATTTCAGTATTTATCAGTTGTGTATTGTCTCAACGATTCTAACATATGTTAGAAAATACATATTATTTTACGCGATTCAAACAATCACAGGTTATTCGTAGGGTTAATCCGATGTAGTCGCACTTGTTCCGCATTACCAATGTTCTCTGGGTTCCCAGCCAAATACGTGGGCATAATCTGTGGCATTCAACTGTACTAATGCGCGTAGGTTTGAAGTCTTTGCATTTCCATTTGTTCACAGTATAGAGAGCTGTTGGATTGTCAGTTACTGCCAGCACACCAAGTTTTTTACAATGTTCATCTAGCCATCTGAAACAAAGTGATATATATGTGGTTTAATTTATAAATTTTCAAAAAAAATAAAATTCCTCAATTGTAAGTAAATATTAGTATACATTTTTTGTTGTTAATCGGTCTCCACTGTTGCTACAGTCAATTCTAGATCGGCAACTATTTTATGAAAGTTATTCTTTGGCTTTTCTTACTCTCTCTCCCTCTATGAATATGATAGTGTCGAAAGTTGCTACAAGCAAGCACTCCAAGTTGCGACTGTACTGATCACGATAGAAGCTACGCCTCGTCTTTGTGATACATATATATAAACATTGTACTTCCGTTTTGTATTGTAATTAGTATTGTTGTTTGTGAGTTGATTTGTTTAATTAATTTGAAAGCACGATTTTTCTGATATCAAATTTCTCAATTGCGGAATCCGGTTTCATTCCAATTCGATACAATTATTTTTGAGTGATTCATAAATAGCAACACACCCGCCAGCAACAAATGATAAATATAAGAAATTTCTCATAGATGGGATCGGAACCAAACATACTGAGGTATGGATGTAATGGTCTGTTCATAGTACATACTAAATGGATAAATGAAGGGGTGCGAATTTGGTTACAGAAACCCACAACCATACTTGCTTAATTTGTCGGGCTCAGGTCGGAAAAATCTTAACATAAATAAATCTGACTGCATTCTAATATTCCAAAGTGCAATTGTACAATTTCCTCATTCAAATTTGTACTTATTCTTATATATATGCTAATAAAGTTCTGATGGGATTAGTGTGCAATGAAGCAAACATAATTACCTCCAGCTAGATTCTTCATCCATCCAATCTAACGATGAAACCTCTCCAGAATTTAACATCGACATCAATACCACGGCAATAAATATTTTCATTTTTGATCTATAATGTAATCGTTTAATTAGTGAATAAGTTTTATCATGATTGAAAACACATGTAAAATTATGATATTATTCTTGTTTTTTACCTATACGTACAATTCATTTCTTGAGATATTTTTGTTCACTAAATTCGAATTAAAAATAATCTTCTAAAATGTAGTTTTGTTTATCAATTTAATAATCAAATGAGAGCATTGATATCTTTATATCATCACGTCTAATATTTTGTACCTTCAATGAAACAAGTCATAGATATTTTATGTAGTGTATAATTATATAGCATAATTATAATATAGTAGATTTATATTGAAAAAAACACAAACCTTGACAACTCTTTTCACGCTTTTTCAGCAATTCCAGTTGCAGTAATTTCTAGGTTACAACTTATTGTGTTTCTGTAGTTTTCTAAGATTCCATTATGAGAATCCTCATTTGCTCCATTCCTTTTAAGCAAAATTCTTGTACTTTCCCACGTTTCTGTCTCTTGTTCGGCGCAATTAGAATCCGTCACGAGCATACTCGAAAGTTTGTAGGTTCGTGATATGCATCACTCTACTTTATATTTCAATTGGTAGAAAAGGTGTTAACGGAAGTAAATCGTGGTTTCGTATCCCGTGTTTTCAATTTAATAAAATATTGGACACGATAGTTATAATCTCCACACCTACGCTACTGCTGGGAAACGATAATTAGTTGTATTTTTTTGTTTTCCAGAACGCAATACGCCTGTGTCACGCATTGTTGTTATGCAAATTAGTTTTAATTTTCCAATAGCACGTAAAACCATCGATGTATGCTTTTTTATCATTTAGTCGCCGCCTTTATTCTCATAGCTTCAAATTTGCGACGTCTGTCCCGTACCGGGTTTATTTCTAATAGGCTACATCTTATTTCGGCTTATTCATAGTGACCGGAGTAAAATATAACCACCGGCATTCGTATTTTATTCTTACAAATACTAATACATTACCATTGAAATGTAATTGAAACCATCACCACACATTGATGACTATGACGTCACATCGTTCACTTCCTTCTGAGCAGTCGAAACAATTGTTTTTCCATAAATGGATATATGGCCTAACATAACATTTATACTTTTACATGGTCACGCCAAGCAAATGGGATTTCAGCACCACTGATAAAGTTGACTGTGTTACTTAAAATGAAGTCGAAGTGTATCATCGTCCAACAAAACCCATCTAAAGTCCGGTTCAGCCAGAAACGTTCCAAATCAGTATTTCACAATAATTGATGAATTACTTGCCTACTTCTTCTTTCATCATTGTGTGGGTAGTCAGACACCGGATTTTCCCGAGTTTTTAATGAGAAAATCTATTCTGGGATTGGGCTGTGTGTTTCATTCTAAGAACCGAAGCAGATTAAAAATTCATCTTAAAACTCACATTGCTATAAGAGGCATATTACCGCTTCTAAAGCTACAGGAATCGTTATTATTCACATGGCAGAATACATAAATACTGAAAATCGTCTGACGTGCACTAAGATGGCTATGATAGACAGGCGAAATTTTATCAATTTTTATATTTATAGCACCTATATAGAATCGAGATCATATCATATGACACAATATGTAAATATGCAAACCCACTTTCCGCGGACACCATAATCACCACGACATGGAGCTTTCTACGTTCCAACAGAAACACCGAGGGTTGTTAGAGACTACAAATTTCTTCACGAAATCCCCGACTAGCACGCCTATAAACCTGTAGTCTCAGTCCTCCCTTTAGGTTGACCTGATACATGTTTGGCGAACATTAGGATTTTAAGCGATGGAAATTTAATCGCCGATATTTGCACGAATGGGCAAATTCTGGATATTCGCTTTATTATAACTGCTTTTTAAAAATATTTTACATAAAAATGAATGTTCCTCCGCGCCGACTAGTTTATTTCTGTAACATTGGGCAACTAACAGGATGCCATGCTGACGTAACAATGGAAATTTTACCAGACACTTCATCTCAACCTCTATTAGTTTGCGGGCTGGTGTAACGTCAAAACTAATTGGGCGAACCGGTGAACCCAAAATGTCAAAAACACAAAACATAATTGAAAGAATGTAATTACGAAAAAGTATGTAATCCAAAAGCAGACAATACAATTTATTGAGAAATTTGATATCATACGTGTTAAACGCGAATTTAATGAAGTTTCTGCAAGGCGAAGTAGAACGTTGACTTTCACGCGACTTTGGTCTCAATGAGAGATAACGACAAAAACCTTTTGCACATGAGTAAGTTGAACAAAATATAAGCAGTAATTTGATGGCCTTGTCACGAAGCTCAGAATATTCTTTTTCAAGCGATATCCAATACTGTGACAAGTGCAAGTCTTTATTCTTCGATATCAACGTGGTATCACAGGAAAGCTCAATCATCGATCTTTCACAGCCGTGTTAAGATTGTACGAATTAATATCATTTGCAATAGAATTAACAATTAACAATCCGCAAAAAGTAAATGCTAAAACTGACTTTCAAGTGTTGACCTATGACAGCAAATAACTCTTCTGTGCCACGATGTTTTGCAAACATGGAAACATATCGATATCGCCATTCTGCACAATGCTATCCCAAAACACAAGACGCTCAGTTTTGTTATGTTGGTGTGATTACCTTGCAGAGAACTGTTAGAGTGTTCAAGCGGCTGAATAAGTCCGCTAAGCAGCGCCGGATTAACCATTAAACGAGAATATCGGTCAGAGACCGAAGACTTATCGGTCGAAAGTGAGGGGATACCCGAAAACAGCGCTCTTACTCCATAGTGACACCTTGTGTCCCCTCACTAATTAATTAATAACTAAGATAAGATGAATGCACATGCAAAATCTGGAGCAGATTCAATCTCGCTTTCGTGAGATATCGCGTGCATCTAACAGACAAACAGACATACAGACAAATACCTATCAACATACTTACCGATTAAAATCGATAAGTAACAATATAAGCACGTGCTTAGGGCACCAAGCAAAGAGGGGCACCACAGAAATTTTAGAGCAGAATTTTATATAGTTTATCGGTGTTTATTAAAATATTACGAGTTCACCGGGCAACTCAAACTTCAAAATTTTTGCTTATTTTTCGTCTTCAAGTATCATATTAACCTTCTTTATTGAAAATAAACACTGAAACTATTTTATTAGACACAAGATGGGCCTATGAGTCGTTTTCTTAAATTGTTGCTGTTTTTTCTTTCTAGTATTCTCCTTGTTGCTGCATTTTTATAAAAATTTCTTTTCTCTTCAACAATTGGACCAATGAACTATTTACACTATGTGGCGGTTCCACGATCGCATTTCAACGGACTAGTGGTCAGTGAAGTCGGGAGTTTTTTAATAAGGTAGACCTGGATGATTCAAACCCTGTCATGCTGATGCATTCGACTCACAGAACAATTTTAGCGTATATTTGTATCTAATAGAGGAACGTTTTTAAGTTCTTTTTAGCTATTCCAACTAGGGTTAGGATCCCGAGATTCAAACCTTTTTTCTAACGCTTTGTGCCCTTATTTTAGTAAAAACACTCCTCTGTTTTCAAGCGTCGGCCATGTGACAGTAGTGACGAAACGCAGGGCCGACTCAACGCCGCGCAATCCATTTTTTTTAGCTAGGTCCCGAAATACCAACTTAGACGGACTTGGTTGGTATTTGGCGGTGGCACTAAGCTTGCTCAAGCTGGAAGTTTTTAAATTACTCAATATAACAATTCGTAATAAAATGAGTGACGCAAGAAAGGCGACATAAGGAAAACACGGCGGAAACGTATTCCCTTGCCCATCACACAGTGGTTTGATTTCAAGTGATATCTGTCACGAAAGAATATAATTTGGATCGACATTGAGCGCGAGATGCGCAAAATACAAAGATAATTCTCGGGAATTAATTAACTTCAAAACGAGAATATCGGTCAGAGACCGAAGACTTATCGATCGAAAGTTAGGGGATCCCTCAAAACAGAAACTGCAGTTTCGATTCGAAAAATTCTGCAAACCCGAACCGGATTGTTTTGAATAGTTTTCAGCCAATTTAAAAAAATGTAGGAAACAATAGCCAACTCCCCATGTCGTCGTCAAAATACTACTCGAGGAAATACTTTGTAAATATCCAGATCTCTTCATCACTAATTAAATAATAACTCGCTAATTATACGACATAATTCATCCAAAATCAATAGGCTACTGGTCCGAGATATGATGAATGCACATGCAAAATTTGGAGCAGATTCAACCTCGCTTCCGTGAGATATCGCGTGCATCTAACACACAGACATACACACATACAAATGCCTATCAACATACTTACCGATCGTAAGATCGATAAGTAACAAACAGACAAATACCTATCAACATACTTACCGATCTTACGATCGATAAGTAATAACTGAAGGCTTTATATATCTTCTTTAAAAGATCGCCACCCATGCAACATAATAATAGTCTGATTAGAACGGTAAACTCTCGTTGTTTATTAAATTTAAAGTAAGTAAACTCGCGATATTTCGATCACTTTTGGGTTTTATCCGACTTGCGGCCCGCGAGACCTCAAAAGTTTTTGCGGTTCTTCAACCTAGCAACCTTAAACCACTCTGAGGTAGACTACTGGGTACCGGTAAAATTTCAAACTACAGTTGTGACTTGTATGCTCAGGTATTTCGATTCACGTTTAGACTGGAGGCATGAATATTCATTGTCACACTCCCTCAGGATTAGAGCTCAACCGATATATCGGCCCGATATTGCGTGTTTGCCGATATATCATATCGGCAGTAAACGGCGATATATATATCGGCTATATATAACAGTTAAAAAAACTAAAAATGTTCGTAAAAGTTGTTTTAATTACTGTTGGTTGTGATTACTTTTAATGAATAATAAATACACTTATATGGTTCATTGTTTTTATAATAAATTACACATGAGGAGGCACCAAAGTCTTCAGTGTCTAGGGCATCAAAGTGGCTTGATCCACCCCTGTCGCTAAGTATGCTAGTTTGGCTGTCCCCATCTCATCGGTTAAGAGTTCTTTCAATGTAGAATTTCTTTCACATAAAACTGCTTGTCTCAACTCAAATAAACGAACGAGGTCGAGTCCTCTCACGAGTAAGGATGCTAGGTATGACTACAAGTATTCGATTCTTATCCCATTCCTAAATTTTCGATTCCGACATATTACCGAGAAAACATACCCACCTAAGTAATACCATATGAAATCAAACAAGAGCTAGAGCGATGTTCATATATCTGGACGAACAAAAAGGTCAAAACTAAGTAGTATTTGTATTCAATCTGTCACAAGAGACATAATCGCACAAAATACGAATCGCTCAAATCCTACAGAGATTTTAGAAATAAGTAAACGTAAAGGCCTTTTAGCGAAAAATATATATATACATAGTGAAGTTTGCGGCGCCGTAGCAACTCAACATAGC